AGGTTGCTGTGAGCCAGGCTGACGCCACGGCACTCACTCTAGCCTGGGCAACAAAGTGAGACTCTGTCTCAAAAAAAAAAAAAAAAAAGCTAGTATCTGTATGCATGGGAAAGGAAGAGAGTAAAATGAAGTTCTCAGATACAACCTCAGTAACAACTACTTTCCTAAATCAAAGCTGGGCTCCTCAGGGAAACTGGAGTCTGATAGAACAGACGATTCTTCTAGTAGGACTGATATTCAAGAAGCACTTTCTTCACCAGAATCAGATTCACGCAATAGAAATGATCTTCAAGACACAGAAATAAGTCCAAGACAGAATCACCACACAAGAGCAGCTGGAAGTGCTGAGATTGAACCAAGAAATAAGCATAGTAGGAATTAGTGTGAGCTTTTGAACACAAATTAAGTTCAAAGCTTATAATTCTACTTATTTGCAAAGATTTTATTATGAACTTTTATTATGAGCTTTCTAAAAGTCACATTTATAATCCGCCTCTACTACTTTTTCCCTCCAAGAATTCCCCCAAAGCTATAAAAAATAGAAATTTATAAATATACATTGAGAATTATGCAGTTTTTACACAACAATGGGCAGGTTAATGTTTCAAGTTGTCTAACTCTTTCCCAGTGGCTCCCATCCAGAATTGGCAGGAGTACAACCTCTGAAAGTTCAGCAGCAGCAAAGGCAACCCTTTTCCAAATCCCGCGGCACTAGGGCCTGCAGCAGGTGCTGGTGTGGGGCAATGACGAGGAGTGAGGACCTGCAGAAACACTGACTGGGATGACCGCTCCCAGAAGCGATGAGAACGGCAGGCCGGGTTCAGCCATGGCTTGAACCTGGGACTGTATTTAAACTCGCCAGGCCAAGAACTGCCAAGGGCTGAATCACAAACTCCGAAGGGTTGGCACAGATTCAGTCTAATTTGGGAAATCCAGTTTTCTCATTATTGTCTCCTCTTTAGTTCCGGGGCAAAGGGGCAGAGTGTCCCAGAGAACAGTGATGCTAGGGGGACACAGAGCCTGCTGGCAAGCCCCCAAGTTTCTCGAGTTTTCAAATTCACCAAGAGAATGGACAATTATGAGATGACTATAATTAAATATGGACCTTAGGGTTCTAACCCAGGGAACAGCGTGTTTATCCAGTGGTAACTTCCAGGTGTTTACAGGCATCTTTCTTCCTTCCGAGATCAAAGGATATCAGCCTGCCCAGCATCTTCCTTAAAAACTTCTTTTCTGGTTTGTCGAGTACATCCATCATGAAGCCATCTTTCTCCAGGACGCAGAGGTTGAGCAGATTCACATCTGCTTCCTGGAGAACAACTCAGCCTAGACTGCGGGCTTCTCACAGCCCACTCCCACCGCAAGGTGGGAACGTGGCCTTCCGTCCACACTGGCCTTGCGGCAAACCAGGGAACCTTTTTAGCTTTCAGAAGACAAGGCCAAACCCAGCCCTCAGAATCCCACCGCACCAAATCCTTTCCCTACAGCTTAAAAATCTATGTCTCCTTTATCAGTCACAGCGTAACACAGCCAACGCCCAGGCTCTTGTCAGACAGCCCTCTTTTCCCGGGAGGGGCAGGACTTGGAAGTTCCCAAAGCACAGGCTCCACAGAGGGACAACTGACTGACCACAGAGGGGACAGAGAGCACTGCCCCACATCAAACGCCGACAAGAGGATCAGTGCCACTCTGGCATGTCACTGTCCTCCACATCGATGAGAATGTGATGAGCTCGCAAATCCTGCCAGCCCTGGGTCAAAGCTGTGACGTGTGGCCTCCTGTTGCCAGCGTGTTGAGGGGGCGCAGAGTCACTTCCATCAGCTCAGCAGGGCACTTGGAGCACAAGCGAGGAGAGAAGAATGAGGTCCTGACATGATAAATTAGTGCGACAAATTGTGAGTCAACAAAAGGGATCCCGACATCCTGAAACGCACCCCGGGCAGGCAGGCAGTGTTCTTGGTATTACAGCACGCACGGCGGCAAAGAACCCTTCTTTCCTGCCACGTTCCCTGGTCTTCTGGGTTTCAAAGCAATCAAGTCCTATGATAATAAATGAAGTCCCCGGCTGCTGCTACGCCCACGGTACATGCTCGCTGATTAAGAAGCCTCATTATTACCATCATCTCTTCCTCAACCCAAACATCCAGTGAAAACGGGTCATCTTAATATAAGGTTTGCTATTAAAATCATGTCCAATCACATCCGCAGCCTTGGCTCAGCCACAAAGAGGTCACTCTCTCTTCTGCCCTGCAGTGGCTTTAACTCCCCAGGGGGGTGGTGTCCGGGCCCGTGGACAAGCCAGGCTTCCTTCTCAGCTCACGAGAGGGACCTAGAAAGAAGAGGAACCATGGAGCCTGCCTGGTGGGGGCCCCGTCTGCTCTCAGGGGAGGGCAGCTCCGGGACTTGAGGGTTGGTGCCTGGGACACTCAACCACAAGGAACGACAGGCACACACAGGAGCCAAGTAAGCAGAGGAGAAGGGAGGGATCTCCTCTCACCAGAGCAGGTTTCCCCCGGCTCAAACCCACTGGCGAGCCTCTCTTTTCCACCAGGGAGCAGAGACCACCTCAGCAGGCCAGAGGCGACTCTGGACCTCCGCCTCCAACTCACTTCTTCCTGCGGATCTTGGGTTTCTTCACAGGTCGCAGATAGGGGTTATCAATGATGCTCTCCTCCCCGTTGCGGCTTCCCGACAAGGCGGGGTTCTGCTGCAGGACAGAAGTGTTCTCCTTCTCGGCTCCAGAATCGTCCTTTGAGCAAAAGCCGAAATAAAGCACAACACCAATGGCATAAGGAAAGAAATCGTGCCCATAGTAAGAATTGCTATTAGCATCCCTTTCCTTGAGAAATTCCTTCCAGTGTTCCTGTCTCTGCCCCAGACAAAATGAGGCCCAGGCCGGGGGCTGGCTACAAGGAGCAGGCGAGACTAACAGCCTGACGCAGGGGCACACAGCAGAGTCTTGAACCTCCTGAAGGCAGGGACGTGAGTTAGAAAGAATAGAGGCCTGGGAGGGGCAGGGAGTTGGGGGCTAAAATTTAGATGCTTCAGGGAGAAGCCCAGCCTGGTGGGGAGAAAAAGAAAAAGGGAAGGATGCCGGATGACTTGCAGGACCAAGAGCTACAGGGTGGGGACAATTATTTGCATAGGGTATCTCCTGGACCAAAGTTAGCATAAATCAGAACAGATCTCCCCCCAGATCCTCAAATTTCTGGTACTTGCAACTTGGTACCAATGATGATATCCCAGCACAGGCTGGAAACTTCTTGAGCCCTGAGGCTCCCCACGAGGCCAAGCAGAGCCTGCAGGCACCAGCACGTGCAGGTCATGGATACGCCTGCCTGTGCCCTGTGAATCAGGTTTTTTACTGTTTGTTTTCTTTGAGGAAACGGTGACTTTTAGAGAAAAGGTTATAAGTTCACATAGATTCGGTATAATCTAAATTAGAAATTTTTTAAAACTGTGTTTAGACAGAAATCACAACTGTGTTTAGACAGAAAAAAGGTAATGTGCTAAGTTTTAAAAACTGTTCTGGGAATATAGATGAATAATTCTCCTTTCCTTATTTATGCTCTCCTCTACTTTCCGTGTTTCTTTTTTTTTTCTTTTAAGAGGTGGAGGGCTGTGAGGAGGGATGCTCAGTTGCCTTGTTTGTGCTGAGACAGAGTCTCACTCTGCCGCCCTGGGTAGAGTGCAGCGGTGTCATCATAGCTCACTGCAACCTCCAACTCATGTGATCCTCCTGCCTCGGCCTCCTGGGTAGCTGGGACTACAGGCGCTCACCACAAAGCCCAGCTGTTTTTTGTTTTTGTTTTTTTCCCCCCCTTTCTTCTTTTTTTTTTTTTTGGTAGAGACGGGGGTCTCGCTCTTGCTCAGGCTGGTCTTGAACTCCTGAACTCTGGCGATCCTCCCGCCTCGGCCTCCCACAGTGCTAGGATTACAGGCGTGAGCCACCGCGCCCGGCCTATTTTCCATGTTCTTTAAAAAGAGCAGAGGCTGCAGCGGAAGAGGGAGAAAATCACACCGAAAAAACTTGATCCGGAAGCTCAGGCCTAAGTCAGCAGAAGCTGATCCGGCTGCGCCCCCTGGTGACGGGCCAAGGGTTCCATGGGGAAGAAGTCACAGAGATTCCTGTTCTGCAGCTGCTGTTGAGACAGACAGCAGAGCAGAGGATGCTGTGGTCTGATGGCACTAGATGAACAGCAGGTTCCCCAGCTAGGGACAGGTGGCCTAGGGCACAGACACCAGTCTCAGGCTTTTTTTTTTTTTTTTTTTTTTGAGACAGAGTCTCATTCTGTTGCCCAGGCTAGAGTGCTGTGGTGTCAGCCTAGCTCACAGCAACCTCAACTCCTGGGCTCGAGTGATCCTTCTGCCTCAGTCTCCCGAGTAGCTGGGACTACAGGCATGCGCCACCATGCTCGGCTAATTTTTTCTATATATTTTTAGTTGGGCAATTAATTTCTTTCTATTTTTATTAGAGACGAGGTCTCGCTCTTGCTCAGGCTGGTTTCGAACTCCTGACCTTGAGCAATCCGCCCGCCTCGGCCTCCCAGAGTGCTAGGATTACAGGTGTGAGCCACCATGCCGGGCCGAGTCTCAGGCTTAATAAGCCTGCAGAAACTGCATAGCGTCTAGGTTCCACTGGCTGCCCTCTCGCTGTCCTGTCAAGTCCACTCTCCTGGAAGACCCGGTTCCACCCAAGGCCTGTGTGCTTTCCCTCTGTAACACCAATCCATGGGACTACAAGATGACCTTGAGCCACTTTGGACCTTGCGAGCACCCCAAAGGCCAGCCTAGCTCATGCCAGACAAGGTGTCAGCAAAGGTCTGCCCACAACCACACCTACCTTGGACATGGGGCTCCTCACCTTTCTGAAGCTCTTACTGGCTTGCCTGAGTAACATCTTCCCCCTGCTCCATCCTGTCACTTTTCTACGGTAAACATCCTATCTTCAAAGTTACCGGAAGTTCACTTCAACCATGCCTTAAGTGTTTTCTGAGATAACACAGACAGAGGTGACAGCGTCAGAGGAGAAAGCCAGCCCTGGGGCACTGCTGGAGGGTGCAGAGGCTGCCTCCACTGGGCTCACTATGGCTCACAAGAGCAGGACAGGCCTCTCTCCTCCCAAGTAGAGCTTGTGGAAATGCCACTTTCTCACCCCTTCAGCCTTGAAATGGGCAGGGGTATGGGAAGTAGGTGACAGTAAACTGACCCAGAGATTTGTTCAAAAAAAAGGCAGGAACAGAATCACCTGTCAGAACTCCTCAAAAATCCTTGCTTAGACATTGCTTGTAAACAAGAAAAAAAAAAAAAAAAAAAGAACTCCTCAAATTGCCTTTGAGCTCTAGCAAACACCACCCCCTGGGTGACTGCATCTCAGCATTCAATGCCATTTCCACGCCAACAACGCCCCCAAGTACATCTGTAGTCCTCTCCACTCTCCCAAGCTCCAGCTCATACAGCCAACTGCTCACTTGGCAGCTACGCTTAGGTATCAGGTAGGCACCTAAAACTTAAAATGTATCTAAAACTGAATGGGAGCCCGGGCACAGGGGCTCATGTCTGCAATCTCAGCACTTTGGGAGACTGAGGTAGGAGGATCACTTAAGGCCAGGAATTCGAGACCAGCCTGAGCAACATAGCAAGACCTTATCTCTACAAAAAAATAAATAAGTAAATAAAAAACCCTGAATTTGGGACCTTCCCCTGGGCATAAACAGCTCTTCCCACAGTCCTCCTTGTCACAGGTGATGGCAACTCCATCCTTCCAGTGGTTCAAGCCGTACACTCTGTAGTCATCCTTGCTCTTCTTACAGACAGGGCCTCATTACATTGTACAAGCGGGAGCGCAGTGGCTATTCACAGGTGCGATCACAGCGCACTGCAGCTTCGAACTCCTGGGCTCCAGTGATCCTCCTGCCTTAGCCTCTGGTGTAGCTGGGACTACACATGTGCCGCCACACCTGGCATGCTTTTTTTTCACTGACATCCCATACTCCATTTGTTAGGATGTCCTCTTGGCCTGACCTTCAAAATACAGGCAGATTCTGACCACTTCCACTGCCTCCACTGCGACCACCCTGGTAGGGCCCACCCTGCCTCTCACCTAGACTACTGCCACAGCTTCCTGCCTGAGCTCCCTTCTCCAGTCCATTCTCACCACGGCCACCAGAGTGATGCTCTAAGAGGTTCAGGAATGTTCCTCCTCTGCTCCTCACCCTCCCACAACTCCCATCTCACTCAGTTAAAAGCCAGCTCCTAACACGGCCTGTAAGGCCCTACCTGGTCTGACCCACCCTCCCTCCCTCCACCACAGCCACGTGCTGCTCCTCAGGGCCTTTGCACTGGCCGTGTCCTCTGCCAGAACACTCTTCCCCACGTGTCTGTGTGGCTCACTCCTCCGCCTGCTTCAAGTCTCCACTCAGTGGCTCCTACCCTGCGCACCTGTTTAACACTGAGCCTCCTCCTCACCCTGGATCTTCCCCTGGTTTCCTTTTTCCCAAAGCACTTTCATCTTTAACATACTATATAATGACTTATTTACATATTGGGTTTATCGTGGTTCTTCCACTGGCAAACATAGGGTCCTAAAAGGCAGAGGTTTGGTTTTGCTCACCGCTTTACCCTAAGCAGCCAGAAGAGCATCTGGCATATACTAGGTGCTGAAGCAATACTTGTTGAGTGAATGACTGGTACATTTTTCATAAAAGAATAAAAGTTTAGACATCTTGATTGCCTGCAGAAGACAGCTAGTTCCAATATATGAGAAAAAAATTCTATTATATACTAATTTAAAATGAATAGTTCCTTCATGTCAGGTACATGAGGAAACTGGAGCTAGGTTAAACCAAGTACTACCTAGCAAAGTCCTTGAGAGATGCACTGTCATCTATAGAGAAACTAATCTAAACTACTGGTTATTTAATTCACTGTAACAATGTTGGTAAATGCTAAAGACAGAAAACAAACCAAATGTCTGCAGGGACAAGATAAATTGAACGTGATCCATCCCATGGGGCACAATGACCCTGTGAGGACAGGAGAAGCTCCTCACATACAGAGATGGAATCATGGCCAAGACACAGCCTCGGAGGTAAAAGCAAGGAGAGAACCATTCGTGACTCACTGTTGTGTTTAAAACAACAATAAAAAATGTCTCTAGAAGGACACACAAGAGACTGGCAAGACAGTTGCTTTGAGGGAGAGAAAAAGGAGGACAGGGGGATGGGAAGAACTGTCACTATATATCTTTTTGCACATTCTGAATTTTGAAACATATGATTGTATTTTTCAGTCCAACAAACTAACAAGTCCAAGTGACTGTATATAAATTGTTGCTAGAATCTCTGTCTTGAAGTCTTTATCTTTCAGGGAAGAGCATATGCTCACACCGCCCAAAACAGCAGGGAGGGAGCGGCATGTGCCAGGAGCTGCCACGCACCAGGCGCTCGTTGCATCTCGGGCTCCCCCTTCCCCTTGGGGTGTGAGTTCCTGTTCCTACTTGGACTTGTGAGGAAACAGATTCAGATGCTGGGTGAGGCAACCAGCCACGCATCTGGCAAGTGGCATGGCCTGGATTTGAACCCAGGCCAGTCTGACCCTCAAGAGTCAGGCTTTCTAGGCTTTGCTATATGTGACCCTGGCTCAGCCTCTTGGTACCCAGGAGTCCTCAGGTAGCTGCTGGCACTTTCTCACCACAGGGACTGCTGGGGAGCATGTCTGCAAGCCCTTTAACTACACTGTACTTACAAAGGTGTGGCGACGTCTGCTTACAAGATTCCTCCTCCTAAGGTGAACCTCAACTTAGTCCGTGACCCAATCGCCACATCTCAGGCCAAATTAACTGAGTCCAAAACAGAAGTGTAGAATCACAAGTTCCTCTGGTTTATTTAAAGCCACGGGCTCCCAGCCCTAATTCTGAAAAGAATAATTCAACTTAAAGAAATGTGTGACAAGCACCACATGTACTCACCAGCAAATTGGTAATAACGGATCAACACCTAAGTGGACATATAGGAATAACATTTATCGGGTGTCGGGAGGGTGGGAGTGGGGAGGAGGGGATGGGTATATACAACCACAACGAGTAAAAGGTGCAACATTTGGGGGATGGACACGCTTGAAGCTCTTACTCGAGGGTGGAGGGGGGCATGGGCAATATATGTAACCTTAACACTTGTACCCCCATAATACGCTAAAAAAAAAAAAAGAAAAGAAATATCAAAAAAAAAAGGCAGTAAAACAGAAACTTACATAAATAAAAAATAAATAGGAGGGTGAAAAAAAAAAAAAGAAATGTGTCTTCAAGCAAGGATGACCCTCAGCATATATTAGAGATGGCATGGGCACACTGCCGCCACCCTGCTCCCGGCAAACTGGAGCGGCTGGCTGCCATTTGGTGCGCTGCATCTCAAAGAACAGGGGGAACACTCAGTCCCACTGTAGCCACTAAGGCGTCCTTTGCATCAAAACCAGGACTGATTTTAAAGGACAGCTGAACGTGGTAACCTGACCATAAGGACCCTTTCAGCCTTGAAGGCATTAGAGCTTCCACAGTTCTGTGACTCTACTTGGCACTTTCTCTCAAGATGCAGGAACAAGAATGGCGTCTTATCCTTTCACTTGCTGAGTATGACACATTAGCAACCAGAAAAGAACACTCATCTCCCCACCCACCTTAGTCTCCCGCACCCACACTCTCGGTCTCCTCCCTGGGTATGAAACGTCTGGAAGAAAGTCAGCTACATCTGGGCACTAGCCCACCCCTCTCACCGACCAAAGGACATTATTCCAAAAGGTTTCTTTCTCGCCTGCATCAATTTTCCCTCCCAACCAGATCATCCCTATCAGCATACAAACATGCTGTTATTTCTTTTATCTTACAATGCCTCTCTTAATTCCTTAATTTTTCCCCTTTTAGTTACCACTCCTCCTTCCCTCTACAGCAAAGCCCCTCAACACAACTTGTCTATATGAGCGTTGTCCAGCACAACTTTCTTTTTTTTTTTTTCTCTGTCACCCGGGCTAGAGTGCCGTGGTGTCAGCCTGGCTCACAGCAACCTCAAACTCCTGGGCTCAAGCAATCCTCCCGCCTCAGCGTCCCGGGTAGCTGGGACTACAGGCATGCACCACCATGCCCGGCTAATTTTTTCTATATATTTTTAGTTGTCCAATTAATTTCTTTCTATTTTTAGTAGAGATGGCATCTCGCTCTTACTCAGGCTGGTCTCGAACTCCTGAGCTCAAACAATCTGCCCGCCTTGGCCTCCTAGAGTGCTAGGATCACAGGCATGAGCCACCACACCCGGCCCAGAACTTTCTTTGATGGAATCACTCAATATCTGCACTGTCCAGTTTAGGGACCACTAGCCATATGTCACCACTGGGCACTTGAGATGTGGCTAGTGAGACTAAGAAACTAGTTTTTAGTTTTATTTAATTTTAATTATCTTAAATGTAAATAGCCACATGTGGCTTGTGGTTACTACTGTTAACAGACAGCACAAGTCTATTCTCACTCCAGTATCTTTCCTCCCTTTCTCTCTGAATTCACTCCAGGGCCCTGCTCTCAATCTTACAGAAATTGCTCTTATCAAGATCATAAATGACATTCTCATTGCCAAATCTAATGGTCAAATTCTCAATCCCCTATTACTGGAACTAAGTGCAGCTTTTGACACAGATGATCACTCTTTTCTGCCTGAAACCTACCTCCCTTGGCCTCCAGGGCATGGCCTCTTCTGGTTTTCCTCCCCCTCCCTGGCTGTGCCTCCTCTGTCTTCCTGGCTGGTTGCTCCTCATCTCGACCTCAACAAAGTAGACAGCCCCAGGGCTCAATGTGCCTCTGCTCCTTTTTTGTCCTCTCATCCCTGGGAGAACCCCTCTACTCTCCTGGTTTTAAATGCTATCTACACACTATTAATGCCCACATATGCATCTCTGGCCCTAAGTGCACCTCAAACTCCAACTTGGATATCCAACTCTCTGCCCGACATCACTGCCTTGATGTCTGACAAGCATTTCACATTTAACACGTTGAAACCTGAACTCCTGGCTTTCCCCTGCACACCTGTCCCACCCAAAAGTCTTTTCTGTCTTGGCTGAACACAACTCCATCTTTCCTTTTCTCGTTCACAAAAAAAACCTTCCAGTTATCTTTGACTCTCACATCTCACATCCACTTTGTTAGTTGGCCGTGCTCTGAAAAGGATCCAGAGTCTGACCAATAATCTATGTGGCCATGTCTCATTCTTTGCTCCTCCTACCACTTCTCAGTTTACTCAGCCAGCCTCCTCCCTGGTCTCCCTGCTCCTGCCCCTCCGCAGTCCATCCTTAGCACAGCGACGTGACTAAGCCTGCCAACAAACCTACATCGGATCCCCACCCTCCTCAGCTCATCTCCAGAGGCTCCCACCTTAATGAGCAAAAGCCAAGTGTCCAACATAACTTTTAAGGCCCTGTAAGGTCCGACTCCCCCATGAGCTCTCTGACCCGGTCCCCTACTGTCCTGCGGCTTGTTCACTCCACTCTGGCCACCCTGAAGTCCTTGCTATTCTTCAACACAACAGGTAAGCTCTGACCTCAGGGCCTTTGCACCTGCTCTTCCCACTGCTTGGAATGCTCTACCCACAAATATGTGCAAGCCTTGTTACCTTCAGGTCTTCACTCAAACATCACCTTTTCAGTTGTCCTATCTAATATTGCATCGCCCCCTCCCCATACCCACTTTCTATCTCCTAATTTATTATTTTTCCTTAGCTCCATGAAGGCAGGGAATTCTGTCTATTTTGATTCCTACCAATTGCCCAGCACCTGGAACCGTGCCTGGCCCTGGGAGATGCTCACCCAGTATTTGTTATATGAATGAGTGAATCCTCAGGACATGAACGACTGTCTCTCACTCTGGAGATCGGGTCATACCTGGATCATCACGCGCTCATCCTGCAAGCCCCTACCATAGAGCCAGAGACCTGGGGTAGGTCGTGTCCGATTCCCAGGGCTGAGGGCGGGATGGGCTAGTACTGGGGGTACTCTGAGGCAAGCAGAAGGTGGGACCCACCGTGCTGATGTGAAGAGTGAGATTCTCTGTGTCTGTCTGCTCATCCTGCTCCGAGGAATCCGTCTCTTCCATTTGTTGCATCTCCAGCTCAGACGGAAGAAGAGCTGTCAGGTAGGGGATGCTGAAAGGTCTGGCAGCAATCACTGGGGATCGGAAGAGAGGCACGATTCCACTGTCACAGAGTCCGTGCGTTTGGCCTAGAGCCTCACAACAAATCAGTGAGCGGCACCAAAAGACAATATACTATCACGCTCTGAGCACTGACACGGCAGGCCAGCCAGTGTCCTACAGGCTGTACACATGTAATCTTTGATCCTTGTTCCCATCCTATTAAGTGAGGCACAGAGAGGTTAGGCGACTTTCTCAAGTACACAGAAAATGGCAGAGTGTGATTCGAATTCAGGCAATACAATTTCAGAGCCCACTTTTAGCAAGCACAACTGAGATCAGATCAAAGTGGAGCTATAGATAAAATCCTAGGAATGTATCAGCTTTGTGATCTTGCACCCAAGGTCAGTTAACCCCTCTAAGCCTCATTTCCAGAGCAAAGATATTGACCTTGTCAGCCAAGGACTTAAGTCTGCAAGTAACTCTGTCTACTAAGCTATAAGATGCTCTGGTAAATGAGAATTATAGTTCTTCCAAAAAGCAATGAGGATGAGAGGAAGAAATTGATTGAAAGTCTCTATGTATACTTCTATGGTGGGATGTGATTGTCAGGATATACTCTAAAATTATTTTTACTGAGGGTCAGATGTGGGGTCCTGTAGTCAGAAAGAGTGAGGTTTGAATGCTACCTACCAGCCATGTGACCTTGAGCAAGTGATTTCATTTCTCTTCTCTATGAGCCTCAGCTTCCTATGAAGGTGGTGATAACAGCTCCTAACTTGGAGGCTCACAAGAGGATTTAATGAGATGATGTATGGGACGTGATTAGCACAGTGCCTGGCACTTAACTGGTAGCTGCTATTATTTCAGAGCCAGGAACACAACAGGCATTCAACAGGAGCTTGCTGAATGAATGAATCACCCAAACCAATCTCCCTCATTCACCCTTGGAGAAACTGCGGCCTACGGAGATGAAGTAGCTTGGTCAACATGGCCAAATATAATAGTTCTGAGATGCAAAGCTAAATGAGATGGGACCTGTGAAAGGACATCATGGTGGGCCACTGGCCCCTGGCACCAGTGCTCCTTCTCCTACCTGGGCTGCCATTTCTGTATCAGTCTCTCTGATACCTAGGGCTCAGCGACCCTCAAGGCAACCTCAGGTGGCCGAAGCCATTGCTGTTTTAGAATCATCAGTTAAGGACAGGCTCTTAAGAGCTGGGAAAAGGAGCTAGAAATCTAAGAAACAAGCTGTACCCAAGCGAAAGACTAAATAAAGCGTATTCATTTCTTTCTCCCATGCTGAAAGAAAGGAAGAGGGTAGATTATCTCAAATGACAAGACAGGGTCCAAAGGGGGGCAACTCTCACATGGAAATGTGCTGACATCATCTTTGAAAAGACTCTGGGTCTCTCCTGTCTTGGCCATGAAGCGGGTGAGTGCCCGCTCCACATCGCGCCTCTGGGATGCAGCCTTCTCCCGCAGGACCTGGTAGTCCGACACGGGCTCGCGGTAAGTCTGCAAGAGAACAGCCAAGACGGCAGGGCAACGCCACATGTCATTCTGCTCAGCTCGAGCCCCTGCCTTGCTGTTGTTATGTCCTTCCACGCTCTAAAATAACCCCCTACTATTATTTACAGCAGAGATCTCCAAAGTGCAGTGGACAGGCAGAAAGAAAACAACTACATTAATATTTCTAATCTTAAAAATCAAATATTCAAATGAAGATTGACTCTGGGCCTTCATTCAGCTCCCATGACAACTGGTCTCAGGTGTAACAGACACATCCTTTTATTTTTTTAGTAGAGATGGGGTCTCGCTCTTGCTCAGGCTGGTCTCGAACTCTTGACCTTGAGCAATCCGCCTGTCTCAGCCTCCTAAACTGCTAGGATTAGAGGCGTGAGCCACCATGCCCGGCGAGACACATCCTAAAGGAAGAGTGGGAGTCCCCCAGGGAAGCCTTGACAGGGACTACAGGTTCCATCAGTGTAATGTGACATCCTGCAGTATGGGAGCGGCTGTCTACGTGGATTTGCAGATCATCCCATCCTATTGCTTAAATTAACCTTCACGGCCAGGCGCGGTGGCTCACACCTGTAATCCTAGGACCCTAGGAGGCTGAGGCGGGCGGATTGCTCCAGGTCAGGAGTTCGAAACCAGCCTGAGCAAGAGCGAGACCCCGTCTTTACTATAAATAGAAAGAAATTAATTGGCCAACTAATATATATAGAAAAAATTAGCCAGGCATGGTGGCGCACACCTGTAGTCCCAGCTACTTGGGAGGCTGAGGCAGGATGATTGCTTGAGCCCAGGAGTTTGAGGTTGCTGTGAGCTAGGCTGATGCCATGCCACTCTAGCCTGGGCAACAAAGTGAGGCTCTGTCTCAAAAAAAAAAAAATTAGAAAAATTAACCAGCATGGTGGCATGCACCTGTAATCTCAGCTACTTGGGAGACTGAGGCAGGAGGATCACTTGAGCCCAGGAATTTGAAGTTGCAAAAAGCTAAGTAAGACAGGGACACTGCACTCTAGCCTGGGCGACAGAGCAAGACCTTGTCTCAGAAAAAAAGCAAAACTTTTTTATTATGGAAAATTTGGAAAACCCAGAAAAGCATACACAAAAACAAAAATTACCTATAATCTCACCAAGAATTACCATGAACATTTTGTGGAATATCCCTCTAGCCCTGTTTCTACATGGTGATGTACTTTTGTGTTTTGGTTAGACAGGCAATACTGGGGCCAGCTTCAATTTCTTTGTTAACTGTACTTTTGCTGGCAAACTTGGGAACATAATTCTCACTTGCGAATTGTTTCTCAATGGGGAAAGATGTTCTGAGTTCTAAACTACCCTTTTACCAACAAACTTCTGGACTATCATCTGACTACCAGTGGGAACTGACCCTGTGTTCTACATCAGTCACACCCCCCAGTGTGGCTTTGTCACTCACCGGAGTTTTGATGTAGGTGTGGGGATCGGGGAACTCAGGAAAATGGCTGGGGATGTGTGGCGGGTGGGGTCGGTTCTGCCCTGCAGTGAGGGCCTTGGGGGTCACTGGCTGATTGGTCACTGGAGCTGCAACAGAGTCAAAACTGGTTACTTCTCCACCTATGGCCCTGGTTTCTACAGATTATGGTCTCTGCCCAAACCCTTCTTTTCTCAAAGTAAATGCTGGACCTTAGTTTTTTATACAACAGGCACTCTGTATTTCTATCAATAAAAGGTCTTCAGTGATTTAAGCATCTGAGAACATACCCCCCCCCAGTGCCCAGCCCTGCTTAGATGATCTTGGTTGACATTCATGTCTACAACAATCTGCCTGTAAGCCTTAAACAGGGAGGTGGGTGGGTGTGACCACGGTAACTGTGGAAAAGAACATGCTCAAGAATCAGGGAAGTGAGATGGGCTGCAAATTTTCTTTTCAGAGATCTCAGATACCAGAAACATACACTGAGTTGGGGAAAGTACGAATGGCCTTCATGATAATGAGATGGGATTGAAAACGGCACCTCCCACTGCTACTCTGAGACACCAACATGAAAAAAGCGACTTTAAAGAGGCAGGGTAGGGTGGCTGACACCTATAATCCTAGCACTCTGGGAGGCCGAGGTGGGAGGATCGCTAGAGGTCAGGAGTTTGAGACGAGCCTGAGCAAGAGCGAGACCCCGTCTCTACTAAAAACAGAAATAAATTAATTGGCCAACTAAAAATATATAGAAAAAATTAGCCGGGGCCAGGTGCGGTGGCTCACGCCTATAATCCCAGCACTCTGGGAGGCCGAGGCGGGCAGATTGCTCAAGGTCAGGAGTTCAAAACCAGCCTGAGCAAGAGTGAGACCCTGTCTCTACTATAAAAAAATAGAAAGAAATTAATTGACCAACTAAAATATATATAAAAAATTAGCCGGGCATGGTGGCGCATGCCTGTAGTCCCAGCTACTCAGGAGGCTGAGGCAGCAGGATCGCTTGAGCCCAGGAGTTTGAGGTTGCCGTGAGCTAGGCTGACGCCACGGCACTCACTCTAGCCTGGGCAACAAAGCGAGACTCTGTCTCAAGAAAAAAAAAAAAAATTATCCGGGCATGGTGGCGCATGCCTGTAGTCCCAGCTACTCGGGAAGCTGAGGCAGAAGGATGTTTGAGCCTAGGAGTTTGAGGTTGCTGTGAGCTAGGCTGATGCCACAGCACTCTAGCCTGGGCAACAGAGCAAGACTCTGTCTCAAAAAGAAAAAAAGAAAAAAGAAAAGTGACTTTAAAGAAAAAAAATCCAGTCAGTTCTCCTCAGGTTGTACAAGCCCAAACTGAATACAGTCTACCCAGCTATGGCACCCGGTTTTACCTAAGGCAGAAGTCATCAAACTTTCTGTGTGAAGAGCCAGACTGTACATATTTTAGGTTTTGCAGGCCCTATAGTCTCCATCACAATTAAACTCTGCCATTATAGCACGAAAGCAATCGCAGATGATAAGTAAACATGGCTATGTTCCAATAAAACTTTGTTTTCAAAAACAAGCGGCAGGCTGCAGCAGGCCCATAAGCCATGGTTTACCAATCTGTGACCTAAGGGAGAACAAGAATTTTCACTCTTTCCAAGCAGCATCATTTATTTGCTCTTCTGGGGCTAAAGCACAAGAAGAACAGCAACATCTCAGAGATCATTTACCTTTCTGGTAACCGAACTTCACATTCTAATCCTATTAGCCCAGATAAAGATTATATTGAAGGTAGCCCCAAAGACTGGAAGGGAGCCTGCAACAAGGAAGTAGCTACCAATCCAATCCCTGCCAATTCATTTCGTTTCACAAGCATTGATAATTTACTAAGTACCTCAGCTCAAAGTCACTTACGAGCAGTGATGACCATCCTCTGAGACCGTTTTGCATAAGCTGGGAGAGTGTCCACATTGAAACCTAAGAGACAGGAAAATAAAAACCAATGCTCACATCACTGGATATTCAACATGGAAAGGTGAGTAACATTGTGGCAAAATGGCTTAAACACTCAACTCAACCACTTTGTTGCCATTAAAAAGCAGCTCCCGCAGAACCCCCAACAGGGAGTTAGGAGGCCTCTTAAATGGGTTCAGAGGAACCTCTGTTAATAAGTCTCTCAAGCTAAAAGCAAACCAGGAGGGCCACAAGGGAAACCGAGAACACTCAGCAGACATGGCTGACTCCTAGGGACTCCTCCCTCTCTCATAACCCCAACGCAGATACACTGAAGCACTGGAACCTAGAGGTGCACTCACCCATCTCAACAAGTGTGACCACGATATCCGACAGTGTGGGCTGAGTCCTGGCTGTGTGCTCACAGTAAGACTTGGCACTCCTTCCAATTTCTGAAATGTCTAAGAGAGGATTCAAAGGCATAAAGTCTTATTCTCAGTTCCTCAAAAAGTTAAACACAGAGTTAGCATATAAGCCAGCAATGCCACTTCTAGGTATATACACAAATGAATTGAAAACAGGGATGCGAGGCTGGGTGTGGTAGCTCATGCCTGTAATCCTAGCACTCTGGGAGGCCAAGGCAGGAGGATCGCTCGAAGTCAGGAGTTCGAGACCAGCCTGAGGAAGAGCAAGACCCCATCTCTACTAAAAAAATAAAAAGGAATTAGCTGGACAACTAAAAATATATATAGAAAAAATTAGCCAACCATGGTGGCACATGCCTGTAGTCCCAGCTACTTGGAAGGCTGAGGCAGGAAGATCACTTGAGCCCAGGAGTTTGAGGTTCCTGTGAGCTAGGGTGACACTATGGCACGCTAGTCCAGACAAGAGTGAGACTCTGTCAAAAGGAAAGGAAAAGGAAAAGAAAAAGGAAAGAAAAGAAAGAAAGAAAACAGGGATTCAAACAATAGCCAAAAGGTAGCCAGTGTCCACAGACAGATGAATAAACAAATTGTGGTATATACATACGATGAAATATTATTCAGCCTTTAAAAAGAAGGAAATTCTGATACATGTTGCAACATTGATGCACTTTAAAAATATCATGCTCAGTGAAATAAACCAGACACAAAAAGACAAATAAGATTCTGCTTGCATGAGGTACCTAGCATAAACAAATTTGGGCCAGGGACAGTGGCTCATGCCTGTGATCCTAGCACTTTAGGAGGCCAAGGCAGGAAGATTGATTGACTCCGAGAGTTTGAGACCAGCCTGAGCAAGACTCTATCTCTACAAAAAAAAGAAAAATTAGCCAGGCGTGGTGGTATGCACTTGTAGTCCCAACTACTCAGGAGGCTGAGGCAGGAGGATCACTGAAGCCAGGGATGAGTCTGAGGTTTGCAGTGAGCTATAATGATGCCACTATACTCTAGGAAGGGTGACAGAGTGAGACCCTGTCAAAAAAAAAAAAAGAAAAGAAAAGAAAAGAAAAGAAAAGAAAAGAAAAGAAAAGAAAAGAAAAGAAAGAAAAAGAGAAAAAGAAAATTCATAGAGACAGAAAGTAGGTTTGAGGTTACTAGGGCCTAGGGCACAGGGGGAATGGAGAGTTACTCTTTACGGATACAGAGTTTCTGTTTAGAATGTGGAAAAAGAAAAAGTTCTAGAAATGGATAGTGCAACACAACATTGTGAATATACTTAATGTCACTTAAAAACGGTTAAAATGGTAAATTTTGTTATACATATCTTACCTCACAAAAAAAAAAAGAAAAGAAAAAAAGTCTTATTCTATGATAGGTATTATGATTTCTGTTTCTTCTGCCTGAAGCTGAACCTGTATTTTGTAGTCATGCTAAAGTCCTTCAGGGGAAAGGGGAAGGCATCCAAGATGAAGTGTATGAAGCTGGAATCTGTGAAAGGGTTCCAAAGGTGGATGGGAGGTTCCATGAATACTCTGAAACTATGTTGGATTTTATACATACACAAAAAGCATTTTTTCTGGGAATGGGTTCAAAGATTTCATCAAATGTAGGAAGGGGCCCTAAGAAGCAAGGAACCCCTGCTTTAGGGGTCCAATGGTTCAGAAGATAAAAGCAAGTGGTGCTTGACAGGAAAGGGTGTCTTACTGAAGCCCTACCACCAACTCCCCTGCTACCCTGAGCAAGTCACTAATACCAGTCTCTAGACTCTAAATTACAAGATCTTTACAAGAACTGGGTTTTTGTTTGTTTGTTTGTTTTTTGTTTTTTTTGAGAGAGTCTCACTCTGTTGTCCTAGGTAGAGTGCTCATAGCTCACAGGAACCTCAAACTCCTGGGCTCAGGTGATCCTCCTGCCTCAGTCTCCCAAGTAGCTAAGACTACAGGTAAGCACCAGGACACCTGGCTAATTTTTGTATTTTTAATAGAGATAGGGTCTCGCTTTTGCTCAGACTGGTCTCAAACTCCTGAGCTCAAGCAACCTGCCTGCCTCAGCCTCCCACAGTGCTAGGACTATAGGCGTGAGCCACTGGTCCTGGCCAAGAACCCAATTCTTATCTGTTAGGAACTATTAGCTCATTCCTTTAGGACAAACATTCTCAATGTGTGGTCTGGGAACCCTGGAGTCCCCAAAATCTTTTCTTAAGTCCATAGGTCAAAACTATTTTTGTAATAAAATTAAGTCATTATTTGATTTTTTCACTCTCATTCTCTCATGACTTTGATGACATCATGGCTCTGAGGAATAATGGAATGTATGATTATACATTCTTCTATTTTAAAAGTTCGTTTTGTTTTCTAATATGGCAAATATATATACACACACACACACACATATATATAAAAAACACATATACAAAAGCTATTGGGGTCCTCAATATTTAAGAGTCTAAAAGGGGTTCTGAGACCAAAAAGTTTGAGTTAGGAAAACATTTGATATTTAAAAGCTCCAAGCATCAGCTGCAGAGAGCCACCTTGTCTGAGACCACCCCCTTCCTGGCACAGTCCTCTTTTAGTATATGATCAAGACCTGAGTACAGGCCGGACACGGTGGCTCACACCTGTAATCCTAGCACTCTGGGAGGCTGAGGTGGGCAGATTGCTCGAGGTCAGGAGTTCGAAACCAGCCTGAGCAAGAGCGAGACCCTGTCTCTACTATAAATAGAAATAAATTAATTGCCCAACTAATATATAAATAGAAAAAAATAAGCCGGGCATGGTGGCGCATGCCTGTAGTCCCAGCTACTCGGGAGGCTGAGGCAGGAGGATCGCTTGAGCCCAGGAGTTTGAGGTTGCTGTGAGCTGGGCTAACTCCACGGGACTCTAGCCTGGGCAACAGTGAGACTCTGTCTCAAAAAAAAAAAAAAAAAAAGACCTGAATACAAAGGTAGGGCCTTTCAGCTTAATAGACAATAATTGCTCCAAGGCTTCCAGTTTAGCTTGCCAGTTATTTGCACTGCAGTTCAACACCTTCCTCTGCCCAAACCTTTCCCCCACTTCCTTTCATAAGTGTTGATCCCCAAGAAACACCACATATACCTCTACCCCTCATCTCATCCCACCCCTCAAAAAGTTCTAAATGGGAAAGTATGTTGTACATGCAAAAAAGCCTATATGAGACCATACCAGGTTCTTAAACCTCAAGACATTTCCTTTCAAGTGTTTTTTTTCCATTCCATAAAACTTAATCATCTTCATTCTTTGTATCACACAATATAGCATGTGATTGCATAATGTGATAGCATCTATTTCATGCAAATTAGTCCTGACTCCCCAACAAAAGTGTAAGTCGAGAATAGAGAGCAATACAGCAATATTAAGGGCACCTGTAAGTCATCAAGATCTTACAATCTCCCTAGCATTGAATGCTTTACATCCACCTCACTTATACTCACACTCCATTAAAGTACAAATTATTATCCCATTTCACAAATAAAGTAATTGAAATTCAGGAGGCTTAGTGATTTGCCCAAGCAATTAAGTGGCAGAGATTTACACCCAGGTCTGATTCTTAAGCCTGTAAGTACTTCACTATGCTCTTCTTTTTCTTAAATCCTCTCGAACACTATCATGCTTCAGGGCACAGGACTGATGTTGAGGTTGACTCAAAGAAGGACCAGTACTCACAGCTCTGCAGCATCTCTGTCAGTGTTTCCACGGATGCTTTTTCGGCGCTCTCAAACCCTGCCTCTGTGAGCAAGGAGCTCACAACCACTTGCAGTGTTCTCCTCCGGGCCAGATGGTAGTTATCAGCAGGGTTAGTAGACTGTTTACTTCCTGATCTCTGTGAACCAGCCGCCCAAAGAGAGATTGATTTTCATCCACAGGACAAGGATGCAATCACACAGTTCACGCATTGTCAATGGCAAAGAAAAGTGCTTTTGCTAAATACTTCTTTATCAGCGCTTAATGTTTAGATGAACAGATCTTAGCCAACTGAGTGATAATTGAGCAGGATGTTCTAAATACAGAGGCAACTTTTCTGCCTACCTAAAACGTACGGTTCCAATAAGATAAAATGGCTTTCTTTTTTTTTACTTTCCCCTTTAGCAGATTATTATATAGCTGAAGAAACTAGCCTGATGGGATTGAATTAATAAATCTCCCAGAAAAAACAGGATCTCTCTCTCGTCCTTCCCATCTCCACACCATTTCATTAACAAGGAAAATTAAAACAAACAGGAGACGTCGGGGAGACTGGGGCAAAGGATAACAGCACAAAAAAGAAGGGAAACTAAATATTCTGAGCCGGGAATCCCTCCCAACTTTGGCTGGCCAATAAGAAGGCGAAAACGGTCTCTTCGGGCCAATCAGGAGGTGTTCCGGGTTCCCAACCCCCAACAGGGAACTAGCCAATCAGGACGCGGGTCCCCCAACTCAGGACGCCGCAGCCAAGTCCCAAGGAGGGGGAGGCACGTTCAGCCTGAGAGAAGCTCCTCCGCGCGGAGCTCACGGCGGGGCTGGGTTTCTGGGTATGAGCTTGTTGCCCCGGCCAGGAAAAAGTTGCAGAACGCCTAAACGCTCTGAGCCTCGGCCCCGCGCCCCTCGCCCTTACCGTTCCGGAGCCGCCAGCCCCGGCCGCGGCCGCCGCGTCGGCCATCTTGCTCTGGCGTGGCGTGCGCGGGCGCGGGGCGGGATGGGACTTGTAGTCGCGCGGCGGGGCGGGGCGGCGCGCGCCCCTCGGGGTGTTCGGTAGGCCGGCCGCGCGGGGGGCGCGTCGGGTGACCCCGGAGCACGTGACCTTTGGTGAGCGCGGAGTCCGTGGGGCCTCCTGAGGGCTCGGAACCGGGCCGGGAAAATAGGCTGCCGGCTTCGGAGACCAGGTCTCCTCTCATTCTGCCGCCTTCGCGCCCTCCCTGCGCCGGCATCCGCGGGGAGCCCGGGAGGGCCGTGCCTCGCCCGCCTCGCTCCCCGGGCGTCGCGTCCACGCAGCCGCCGGCGGTTCTGTGGCGCCCGCGGGCCAGCCCTGTGGACCGGGCGTTCCTCAGGCGGGGCCCGCGCCTCGTCCGTGCCCATTTTCAGGACGCAGTCTGTGTGTTTCAGTACTAACACTCGCCAGCTGCGGGACTTTGGGCATGTTCCCTAACCCTCCCTGTGCCTCAGTTTCCTCCTCTGTACAGTTGGGGCGGGGTCGATGGCAGGAGTGGGAGAGAGAAGGCACAGAAGGGGTCTGTCACGGCGCCCGACGAGTATGCAGCAGGAGACCCCGGGATCGCGCCCGGCCTGTTGTTTATCTCCGGGGTGGCGCGCGCACGAGTCCGCGAAGGCCGGCGCGCCCGCCCCGCCGCCCACACCTGAGCCTCGGGGCGGCCCCGCCCGCCTCACCTCGGGCGCGCGGGGCGGGGTCTGCGGGCCGGGGGCAGAGCGGGGCCCGAACCCGAGCCGGGCCGGCACCCAGCCGCTTGGCCTCCCCCGCCCCCTCTTCCCCACTTCCTGCCCAGCTTTAAACTCAGGATTGGCGGTGCGGCGCGGACTTTTTAAACACGCCGAGCCTGCGGGGGCGGAGACTGGGACTGTTTGGGCCCTCAGGGGAGGGACGCACTCCCCTGCCCGCGGCTGGAGGTTGCGACCACCCCCACGCCCCAAAGTCAGAAGCCCGAGGCGGCGGGAGACAGCGTCTGCAGCCGCGGTTGGTGCTCCGGGGGCTCACCTGCCGAGGAGGTAGGCTTAGAAAAGCCAGGATGGCTGGGACGTCGGCGTCGCCGCCTCTCCCTGGGGCTTCGAAGCTCAGGCTGGAGACCCCGGGCTGGGGATCCGAGCTGGGTGGGCGGAGGGAGTCGCCGCCCTCGTCACCTCCCCGTTGGCACCCAGAACTTGGCTCACTTTCCCTGCGGGTGAGCTGTTCTGCTCCGAGCTGCAGGGCAGGGAAACCCGCAAAGGCCCCGAGCCTTTATGTGTGCACACCCCCTCCCATTCCCGCCCCAGCGATCTGGAAGCCCAGCGGCTTCCCTGGGCTGTTCCTGTTCTTCGTACCTCGGAGATAGGGTGGGAGGCGAGTGGGAGGGCAGACCAGTGTGGGTGGGAGCCTGTGGGTGCTCCGGCCAGCGCACTGGAACAGGAAGGGACTAAATGGAGGGACCCCTCAGTGTTCCTCCCTCGGTGGTGTCTGGTAGGTGCACAGGTGACGGTCATAGCCTCCTCAGTGTCTCTTAAAGCGTCAACAGGAATAACTGAACAAATTGGTTGATGTTACTAAGGGAACATCAATTTATTCATTTGCATTGATTGAACACTTACTATGTGCCTGGCATTGCATGGGATGTGGAGGGTGTGATGGCATTCACCCTAGCTTGCGTGGGTCGCAGAACACCAGAGGTAAAGCGCCAAGTGCTGTGGCTGTGGTGACTGGAAAGGCTTCAGAGAGAAGAGAATATTTGGGTTGGGTTCTGAAGGATGAATAGTTCACCGGGCAGAGACATTGGTGGGGAGTCTCTGGGGCACTTACTCATTCCACAGAGCTGGACGGAACCCTGACTGCGGTGCTGGGCATTGGGATACAGTCATGACCCAGAAACAATTCCTGCTTTCTTGAACCCACTGTCTAGACATGAAGAAGAGACAGGAATGAACAGGGTGAATTCAGGGAAACAGTTTTCTGGGCTGGTTCCCAAGAACCCAGGAATTCCCAGCTGGGTGCAGCTGGGAGGGTCCACTTGGGGGTGATGTGGCAGTCCACAGAATCCCAGCCATCCACTCCCATCCCTAGACTCTGGGACTGTTTCTTCCCACAAATCCTTGCCCTCTGCCCACTGCCTCAGTCTCTCTGGGACCACACATGGGTGGAGAAGTGGGTCTCCCATTGCTTCCCTGCACATTCTTTTGCTCTTTGAATTCCCGGCTCCTTTGAGAAATGACTACCACAACAACTTTTGAACTCATTCAACACCTATTTGCTGTGCCCATACTCTGTCTGCACAGGCTAGATGTTGGGGATATCATGATAAACAAATCAGCTTCAACCCCCTGGAACTTAAACTTGAAAGCATCTCTGATAATTCTAGCAGGGTCCCAGTCTATGCCAGTCATTGAGATCACAGCCTCCATGGTCCCAAACATTCTCCTTCCTGTTTCCCTTCCTGCAAGAGCTCAGAATACTAGCTAACAGTTATATAGCACTGCCAGGTACTCTTCTGAGTGGTTTAGAAATAGTTTCTCATTTAATCCTACTAGTAATCCATTTTATAGATAAGGAAACACACGAGATAAGTCATCTTCCTAAAAAGGACACAAGAAACAATGGCAGAACTGGGATTTAAGCCCAAGCCACTTGATTTGGGAGGCCCTGTTCTTAACCACCCAGCTAGCCTGCCTCCTAGACCAACCACACAGAATGTACACTTAGCCAGGGACTTATGAGTTTCCTTAAGAGAGTACGTGGTCCTGCATCTTGGGTGATACAGAGGAGCGTGAGCAACAGTGTGTTAGCTGAGCTTGAGTGCTGGTCCTGTTCACAGTGAGCCTCCACAGGCCTGGAACAGGATTGTGGGGACTGCACAGAGCTGGCATCTTTTTTTGATGGCTGTGTGTATGTGTATGTGTGTTCCCCTGTGTAAGCTTCACGCACCAAGCGGAAGGAGGAATGTAAGTAAGCAAAGAGGAATGAACCCAGGTTAGAGGCAAGAAAGAACTTCTCAACATGTGCTGGAATCTGGGGATGCGGAAAACCAAGATACCTCTTTTATTGGGAATCTAAGAATAGCAGAGACCCTCATATTCTAGATTCCAAGAGGAACATCTCAGAGTGGTAGCTGAGTGAGGATGATATTAAAGGAGTGGGTGGGATCTCGAGATGCTTACTACCTCTCTTCCCCAGGCAGGCAGGACCATGGCCATGTGGCTGGCCAGGCTACAGGGCGGTTTCCATGGACTCCAGCCATCTTTCCACCCCCTTTCTGAAACCCTTAAGTTTTCCACAGGGCCTATAGCCCAACAACCTTGTGGATGGTCTTTGAGAGAGGGGGTGTGTTGGGGCAATGGGTATCAAAGCTGGGAGTCAAGGGTAGAGGGTGGGCACCCTGAGATAACAGGAGAGCAGGACGTGAACGTTCAGGACTACACAGACACCTTCCTCACTGCGGGGTGGGGTGCAGTGGAACCCTTGGCATGCCCCGCCCCACCGAGGCCCCTTGCCCCAGGCTGGCTTGCCGTGGAGAACAGGTTGTACTCTTGAGAAACCACAAGAGGAAGTTTAGGGAGGGTTGGGGGTGGGGAAAGTTCTGGGGCCCCTGCCAAGTTTCCCTTTCCCTGCTGTGCAGTAGGTGTGTTTATCTTGCCCACAAAGACATTTAAATTTTAAATGCTGAGAGTTTCAAAGAGCTGTCAATGCCTGCCTCTTTACTGTGGGTGGCCATGGACACCCCTGAGAATGGGATTGGAATACGTTACCCATTCCTTTGCTTTCATCTGGGATTGGGCAGGAGGCTAATTCCAGAAAGTCTGCTTTTCTTCTTTCTGCCCCTTCACCTTTCTCTTCCCCAAAGCATTCAACCTTTAAACTCAGAGGAATGTGGCTGTAATGGACACTTAGGCGCTAAATGGTGTTGCCAGGAGCCGGTCAGTGTTTTACCTGCACTATCTCATTTAATACTTATTCCCCACAACCACGGATAGTGACACCTGTAGCTGCAATTTACAGATGAGGACACTGAAACCCAGAAAGGCTAAGAAGGTTGCCCTAGGGGACATAGCTAGTAAGTGGCAGAGCCCAGATTTGAACAAGGCTCTATGTGATTTCAAAATCTGTGCTTTTTACTTCTAAATTAACTCCCCAGTAAGAGAAGCATTGACTTCCCCAACATGTCAAACGCTGAACAGTAGGGAGGTTGAGATCTACAGATGCCTTTTAAATGCTGCTGCTAGTGTGCGGAGGGGAGAGAATCGAAAGGGATTCCTTGGAAGTTGACATATTTAAAAGGGGATAGCTGGCCACGTGCAGTGGCTCATGCCTGTAATCCTAGCACTCTAGGGAGGCTGAGGCAGGAGGATCACTCAAGGTCAGGAGTTCGAAACCAGCCTGGGCAAGAACGAGATCCTGTCTCTACTAAAAATAGAAAGAAATTAACTGGTCAACTAAAAATACATAGAAAAAATTAGCCAGCTATGGTGGCACATACCTGTAGTCCCAGCAACTCAAGAGGCTGAGGCAGTAGGATTGCTTGAACCCAGGAGTTTGAGGTTGCTGTAAGCTAGGCTGATGCCATAGCACTCTCTAGCCGGGGCAACATAGTAAGACTCTTTCTCAAAAAAAATAAAAGAGGATAGCTGAGTGAGAAAAAGGTGCCCTGGGTGAAAGGTTGAGGTGGGACTCTGGAAGCTTGAAGCAAGTGAGAGGAGGGTCAGGAGGGAGAGCAGAGCTTTGTGCAGATATCTGGAAGGTTGCCCTGGGAAGCCCTGGATAAGGGTGTGGGGGCTGGAGGAGGCAGATTTCCAAAAGCATAAGAACTTTCTTTCTAACAAATAATGGCCTAATCCCCGAATGATGAAGTGAGTTCCTGTCTGTGGGACCATGGAGCGCATGCTGTAAGGAGGGCTTCTGCCAGCTAGAAGACCTCAGAGCCCCTTTTCCTCCAAAGGCCCATTGTGGTTATTCACCGGCTTCCCTCTTTCAGGCCACCCGTTGGCTCCCCCACGCTTCCTGGCGGATGGTAGTCCCTGC